CCCCAAAACCCCAAAACCCCAAAACCCCAAAACCCCAAAACCCCGTGTAAATCAGGACAATATTATAATAACTAATCAAATATTTATAAAAATGGAAGGCAAACTACCTTACATCATTGGAGGAGTCTCTCTCCTCGTCGGTGGAGCACTCTTGTTCCATTACTTAACTAATGACGAATCTGGTGAAGACGAGAATTTGCTCGCCGGTGAGCTTTCTGAGTTTGGTTCTGTAGAAAAGGACGCAAATGGAATGGTCAAGTTTGAAGACTTCCTCAAGATCTTTAAGCTTGTCACTAAACACTCTAAACTTCAGATCACTACTTTTAAATCAAAGAACAATGAGAAAAGAAGACAATTCCTTAAGGATGGAGATGAGGACTCCTACAGAGATTGTATTAAGCAGCAAATTTCTCAAGAAGAAACTATCTATCAGGAAGTTGCCACTGAAGTCCTTAATTATCTCGATATTGAGGAACAAGAGTTCATGATGGCCCAACAAATGCACCAGATGAACCCTCAGTTCCAGAAGACCATGATGGAAATGCAACTAGGAGTTGAAGAAGGAGATGCCCAACCACCTAAGGTCACTAAGGAAGTTGCTAAAGAGATTTTCATTTATGTAGAAGATGAAAAGGCAAAGTCAATGGCCAACATGAAGGGAGCAGGAGGCATGTTCGGTAACCCCAATGATGCCGAAGGGACTATTAATATGATCGTTGAGCACTCCAAAGTTGGCGATAAGCTTTTCGAGAAATACGGAATTGAGGAAGAAGAATTTGCAAAATGTATTCAATACTATAATTTGATCCAAGACCCAGATATCCAAAAGGTCATGCAGAAAAGTTTACAAAATATGGGTCCAGAAGCAATGGCCATGCTCGCACAAATGCAAGGAGGAGCCCCAGGAGGTGCTGCTCCAGGAGGAATGGGTTTCTAAGTGTAGTTGACTAAATCTCAAAGACATTTTATTCTTCAGTAATTTATCTGTTCTGGGTTTACTTCATTTATTATGATAGTGGTGCTGAAATCATTATATTTCAAGGAAAATAGTATAATTCGGGGTTTTGGGGTTTTGGGGTTTTGGGGTTTTGGGGTTTTGGGGTTTTGGGG